TGATGTAAGGTACTACACTGCAGTGCAGTGCAGGGTGTTACACTGGAGTGTGATGTAAGGTACTACACTGCAGTGCAGTGCAGGGTGTTACACTGGAGTGTGATGTAAGGTATTACACTGCAATGCAGTGCATGGTGTTACACTGGAGTGTGCTGTAAGGTATTAAACCACGATGCTGTGCAAGGTGCTTTATTAAATTATGTTGTAATGGTGCAGTGGTTACCACTGTTTCCTCACACCTCTGGGACCTGGGTTCAAGTCTCAGTGTGTGCGGAGTTTGCATGTCCTCCCAATGTTGTCATGGGGTTTCCTCTGGGTTCTTCAGTTCCCCCCAAACAGTCCGAAAACATGTTAAGGTTAACTGGAGTTACCATAGGTGTATGTGCCCTGTGATGGGTTGGCACCCCATCCTGGGTTGTTCCCTGCATTGTGCCCATAGGCTCCGGACCCCCTGTGACCCTGAATAGGACAAGTGGTGATTGAAAATGGATGGAGGTGCCATAGGATGTTGCATTCAGATGCAGTGTGTTATAGTGCAGCACACTGTAGGTTGTTCTACTTTGATGCAGTGTAAGGTCTCATATTATTCCACAATAAAAGGCATTTCATTATGTTTCTGGCATTTCTGGCTGAGTGTTAAAGACTGTGCCCCAGGCTGGATGAGCTTCCTGAACGCCAGGCAAACACAGAGAAACAAAGAGCAGTGACGCGGGGCAGCCGTGAGCGCGGAGTGAGAACGCCGGCGGGAAAGCGAGCCACCATGGCAGCTGCAGAGTGATCAGGGGAAATAGCTGGCAAATGAAAGGAGGTGGATCAGAGACACGCAGCCCCTACAAAATCACACACGCTGGCTTTTACTTCCAAAGAGGAGGGTTTCTTAGTGTCTCCCTGCTACAGATAATTCCCTTAAGTCTGGCTCCAATCTTATTGTTTTTTAATACAAGGAGCCTCTTCTGGGACCGTGAGCTCTGTCTTTTCAGACAGCGGGAGAAACCCGGACTCTAAGAGAGCAGAAGAATCTCTGGGGGCCTTGTGGATGAAGATGCATGTTCAAGATCTCCTCATTCTCAACCACGTGCCAACAAAGTGACTGAATTCCACCCTCGCCCTTCAGGTCATCCCCCTCCCCTCCCTCCCTAATTACAGACCGACTGAGAGACAAAGACCAGCTTTATTTGGGCACCTATCCCATACCGTAAAAGGATCAGGTTTCCACCACGACAAGGAAACAGAGGCACACATATCACATGGGCCGCATGGCAGGACTCTAGCCAATCAAACGCCTGGGCATTCCGACATCATGGCCTCTGGTGTGTGATGTGACAGACTACACACAAAAGAATCAAAAAATTTAAAAAAAGGGATTCAAGAACTATTAATAAAAATGTGGATGTTACAGATAGCATCATAATCAGTTGTCAGCCAAACAGAGGCTTAACTTGTGGTATCTTTTCCACACACAAGCTGAAGGGCATTTCTCCTGCCACCCCTGCAGGTAAGAGGCACAGACAAATAGGCAGACATATTGGTGAATTTTAACATGTAACATACAGCATCGCTGGCAGGTTATTTTAGGTCCAAAGTGAGCTGATTCTCTTGATAGAAATATTGAGATCTTCAGCTAAACAAGTAAAAAAGTGGAAATGTAATATTGAAATCGTTCCTGCTTTATCGATAAAAAATCTCTTTACCGGTAGCAGTGGCTGAGGGATTTTATATAAATACTCCCATTCTATTTGTTTGACTCTTAACCTGCTTATTGTCATTTCTATTCCTAAGGAAACGAGGTACAAGAGCAAGGCCAGGAACAGACCAGGGTGGGGTGCCAACGCATTGCAGGGCACACTCAAGCACCATTCTGTCATTATTAAATAAAATGCAAATTTTGCCTCATTGTTTTACATCTTAACAACAGTTACACAAAGTAAAGATCACAGGTGTAATAATTTAGCAGATGACAAATGAGGAATGTTTTTGTTGTCAGACGGCAGAGTCAGTCAGGGTCCCCGGAAGGAGAGTCAAGGTTCTCTGATCACTCTGCTGGCCAAAGGATCCAAACCCATGATCTTCCAGACACAGATTCCTCATCCGCTCAGCTACACCCCACACATGCAAAAGGACTAAAACAACCTACGGAGAGCAAATGACAGGGAAACCACATTACAGGGCTGTTTAGGACATAAAAGACTGAACTAAAGACCAGAACAGAGTGTATCTTTGAAGCATCTTTTCCTTCCGACTAGGTGACATATGCTGCAGAAGAATTTAACCAAAATTGGTTACTGTTAAAGCAGAGGGCCTCCTGCCAAGGAGAAGTCGTCAAGCAGGGCCCCGTCCCCAGGGCAAGAACTCATCACCAGGAACCACCACACCTGAGCTACAGGAACCTTTACACTCCCGTCCACCTCTGACACAACAATGGGTCTATAATGGTGATGATAAACAAGGCAACTTTTCCAGCAATGTTGCTGGGCAACTGCCAATCATATGAGACCAAGGCCAACTCATCTGCATCTGGGCGATCGTAAAAAGTAGCCAATGGCTGATCGAGGCTTTTCAAACAGAAATCTGTGGCCAAATATCAATGGGCAAGTGCCAAAGCAACGTTGCCCATAAAGTTGCCCTCGGTACCGTCACACTAACAGGGGTCCAAGTATGTTTTAAACTGATTTACAGATTGCCGAGAGAATATGATATACAGGATACGATATATGATACAATACACTCAATTATTCTGCACTCAAATGTAAGGATGACTGTATGAAACAAGAAACATTTACAAGACCACGAGGCAATTTTAAAGATAATAGAAGATAAAGATGATGAAAATGCACACAGAGAGCAGATACAGTAGTGGCTTCAGAGTGGTTTGTATCCTTGGCCAAGTTGTTTTACACTAACGTGCAATGCACACTTGCAGGAATTCTGGTGAAGGATTCACTGTAGTTGTGCGCCATGCTTCTCAGCTTTTGCCTCACTGGCCTCAGAAATGTTTTATGTGTCCTTTTGTACCCGAGAAGTTAGACGACACTGGGCATCATTGGGGTCTGCATGTGTTTTGGGAGCAAAAATAACTTCAAATAAACATGAAGACGGAAACTGAGACGACCACCTTCGGAAATGCAGCACACCTGGGGACGGGGCACCCTTACTGCACTGCCGCCCCCTCGTTAGCCATGTCGCAGGTCTGGGAGAGTGCACAGCGCCCATCCCCCCCAGCCCCCCCCAGTTCAGGCGGTTTGCCCGCAGGGCTGGGAAGTTAGACCCGACACTGGAAACTCAAGTTCTGTCTACCCAGACATTTTCGGCACCCGCAGAATTCGCGCTTTCCATGGAATTTCCTTCCTCTGCCCCAAAGTCCTGCTCGGTATCTGCGCTCGTCAAGCCGGTGTTACCGGGCCAATCAGAGAGTCACTCTCTGTGCACTATTTGTCTCATGGAACCTGACACTGGGCAGCCAATTATTTGTATATTAAACTTTGTTACGGACCCCGAACCAGCAGTTCTTCAGGTGAAA